CCACCCGTCAAAGTAATGGAACCAGGTATCCAAACTGAAACAAAGTTATTCGAAATTTCTTCGTATTAGGTCATAATCAGAAATCTAAGTGCACGAAATTGAAAACCGCAAAAGGTGCACTCACGGGATGAATGTCGATGGGAGGATTAGTGGGTTCCTAATTGTCTTGTGGGAACACCGATGCTTGAATGATTCGATGATGCGATACCATATCCCTACACATATATACACACAGAATCGTAATTTTAACACTATAAAATATAGTATGTTTTCTTAAAATCCATACATAATTCATAGCTCTAAATCTGATTAGTAATCTACATAAAAATGATTCATGATCTTGCTTCTTGCAAGCTTTTTTTTTTTTTACTAATCGCGTTATAACACAAAACCTCGATTTTTTTTGTCAACAGCTATATTACAAAACCTCGATTAGTTCAATGATTCCATTATATATGTTGCATGTGTTAAAAGCCAATAATGTACAAATACTAGCTTTTTGCCGTTACATGATTGTTCAACAAAGCTGATTTAGTTATGTCATTTCAATTATTTTTCATGATTTAACCTCACAACTAATGGAAATTAATAAACATTAACAAATGAATTATTATTACCTGTGGATATAGTGGTTGTTGGTGCCAGTACGGCGGATGACCTGGCCAAGATGCCGGAGCCGCCGCAACTAACGGAATCGGATACGTCCGATGAGCAGACGCAGGAGTATTAGGCTTGTGTTTAGGCCACGTAGGATGACCCCACACGTGCAAAGGCCTGAAGTGGCCATGATGCATTGGTGCCACGTGTGGTGGATAGCCTAAGGCAGGAGCCGTCCATGGCTTCTTCCCACCTCCTCCTACTCCGGCCACTGCCACCGTCGCATGTCGCCGGAGATTCCAGCTGGCAGCTTCTGCTTCACGCGCTAGTAGATGTTTCCGATGTGACCTATATTTCTGTCATTACAAGAAGAACACAACACAAATTAATCTTATTACACAAATCTGAGTTGGTTTGTATTTTACTTGTCTTTAAAGGAAAAATAATAATATAAAAGAGTTGTATAGGGTTGTAGATGT